AGGTTTTAGGGTTTTAGGTTTTAGGGTTTCAGGGTTTTAGGGTTTTAGGTTTTAGGGTTTTAGGGTTTTAGGTTTTAGGGTTTTAGGTTTTTAGGTTTCAGGGTTTTAGGTTTTAGGTTTCAGGGTTTTAGGTTTTAGGTTTCAGGGTTTCAGGGTTTTAGGTTTTAGGGTTTTAGGGTTTTCGGTTTTAGGGTTTTCGGTTTTAGGGTTTCAGGGTTTTCGGTGGCTGTAATCTGACTTCTGCTTTAAACCAGCCGGTTCAGGTCTCCAGGCTTTAGCTTTTAGTTTTACATGTAATCTGAAGCCTTCCTCAGGAGAGCACGTCTCAAACACAGAGTTTTACATGATAAATAAATAAAGTGTTTGTATGAGCCAGGAAACAACAACAACGCTGTCACATCCACAGAGTGGAAACCGTCCACATTGTGCTGAGAACAATTCAGCTGTCAGAGGTTTGTTAACACTTCACGCCTCCAGCCAGTGGAGTTTAATTACAGGCAGACTGCAGAGAGCAGGACTGATGAGTTGTGTGGCTGCTACTCACTGGGCGGTGCTGGTCACCTCCAGGGCCTTCACCTTCTCCACCATGTCCTGGGTGGCGGCGGTGATGCTGACGGACATCTCGCTGATGAGCTTGGTGATCCTGTCCACCTCGGCCTGGACGTCACGCTTCACCACAGAGCCGGCCTCAGAGCCTGAAACACACATTTCAACCCTTTAATTTACATCCACTGAGTTTACCGAACACAGTGAGGAACAGCAGTGGCTTCTGGGAAGACGCTGATCCTCACGCTTCAGTCTGAGTCCAAAACCTGCATCATGACAGTGAACTTAAATCCTGCTCTGAAGTGCTGCACAGTGGTGAAGCTGACTGTTTTATATTCTGTGTGTGATCCTGAACACACGTTGATTTTATCTGTGGACGGTGGAGACAACCAGCCTTACCGTGGAACAGAACCAGCACGACGACCACGGCGGCAACCAGGGAGAACTTCATGGCTGCAGATGAACAAGATCAACCTAAAGAAAGTCAGAAAGATGAGCGAGACAGAAAAGCAAAGGAGCTTCTGATCATATAAGCAATCTGAGCAAACATCTGTGAGTCTTCCTCAATAACTGAAGCCAGGGTTGGGGTTAGGAGACGTACCTTCACTCCTGGGTGCTCGGACCTAACGGTGCCTTGTGTCGGCGAGCCAGAGCCTTTATAGCTCCACAGGATGAGTAAATCACGGCTAATCACAGACGGTGACCTGACAAGAAGAGTGCAATCACTGCTGAACCTTGATGCTTGATAGGTGTCACAAGAGAGACACAAAGTCCACCGAGTCTGAGCGACTGGTGGCGACTGGTCGGCTGCTCTGACCCGCTGAACCTGACCAGTCTCCAGCTGGACGTACAGCAGCCACGAGTTCACAGCCTCCTCAGAACAGAGAGAGAGCAACAGGTCTTCCTGAAGGTTCAGGGAGACCGCTGGAGAGGAGGGAAGACAAACGGCTTCATACACATTTCATTTCTCAGAATTCCCATCATGATGTGAACATGTTCAGTAACATGCAGCCAGATACAAACCGTGTAGTCTGGACGGCAGCGTGAGCGCCACCTGCAGCCTGTTCATGGTGACGCTGGTCATCCAGATACATTCTATTTCATGTGTTTGGTTTATTTTATTTTAACGTTTAGAGAATATTTGTTAGTGATTTTTTTGGATGGAAGTTTTATTTTTTTTTAGTTCCAGGAACGTTCTTCTTAAAGGTGAGCTGACTGAAGACACTACAGATGATGACATCGTTGTACCGTGATGCTCTTCGTTATGTTAGAAATTATAATCAGGTGTGTGTCCGAGCAGGCCACCTCAGTGCTGTGTGAACATGTTTAACAGATATGCAGAAATATACAATCACAGAAGCTGAAATATAATGATGATTCTCTACATGTAATAGGGGTCAGTTAGACCATGTGACTGCTGAACGAGACGGTCAGTCTGTGAAGGCTGAAGGAGCTCTGATAAGGAGCCTCAGCATTCCTCAGATCAACTGAAAACAAGGACTGGACGGGTCTGAATAGAAACAGGAGAGAATCAGGTGATGATCAGACATTTATATTTACACAAATACGTTGGATGAGAACAAACGGAGCCCAGCTCTCCGTGTGACGTACAAATAAATCTACAAGTGGACTGAAAATCACAGAGTCCTGCTGCTTTCTTCCTGTTCTTGTCTTTTCTTTTCTTGTCTTTTCTTTTCTTGTCTTTTCTTTTCTTGTCTTTTCTTGTAATAATTGACTGTGAGTCAGTGAGCGTGTTGTTCATACTGAAGCTGCACCACAGTGATCACACAACGTTGTGGAAATGTTTCACAGAAGAACATTCTGTCGTGTTGCTCAACAACGTCGCTGAAAAAATCCCTTCACAGCAAAGATTTATAAAGAACCTTCTCTTTTCTTATATGCTGTAAAAAAAACAAAAAACAAAACTGTAATTTAACGTTCAACATTTTTTAAATGGATAAAAACATGAATAAAACCAAACAGTGAATTTACATGTCGAAGGTAAAAATGGCCTTAAAACTGTGAACAACTGGGTTCTGACTGGTGAAATAAATGTGTGGTTTAATTCAGTTTACTTTTAAATTAGCAGATGAGACTTGATATTATAAAAATATGTTTAAAATTAGATGCACAGAAAAGAAAAAAATAGCTCTGTAGCTTTACATGGATTTGTGTATAATTTATATCAGACTTATTTATTATAATTAGAATTGATGATAACAATCATTATTATGTAGGTAATGTCATTGTTTTAACACATGACATTAAATATCTGTCATTAAAGAATAAAAGCAAACAAACTGTCAAAAACCCAAACAGAGAAAAATGTTGTGACATAAAAACACTTGAAGTGAATTCATGAATTTATTGCAGCTCCACAAATATTTTCTTTTTATTTAATAGACAACGTAATTAATCGAAGGTTTTATATTTTTAAAAGGTCGACACACTGACAACAGACAGAGAAGCACTGATTCTGTAATTGTCCATAGATTTGTGTGTTAAATGTGAGACACCTGCACATACATGTGTCATGTCGTCGTTTCTGGTGGGAGCCTCAGCATCTATAATCATCTATAATCATCTATCAATAATCCTCATTAAGCATTAAAAGCCGGATCATCCTCACACTGGTGGTAAACCGAGGGTCAGTTGATGAGACGCTGTTACTCAATTGTGCTGACAAAACCTTGGACCTCGGTTACTCCGACCCGTCAGCAGTTGCCCAACGGCCTCTGAGACGAGCTGCTGATAAACCCGTCAGAGAGGAAACAGTCTGAGATACCGCTGCTGCATCCTGGGACTGACTCTCTGATTAACGCCGTAATAAATCATTAAACGGTTGAAATCTGTCTTTAAACATACTGAGCTCTGTTCTGTTGTTGCATCAGGAGGCAAGGTTGGACACTGTGTCACTATGGCAACCTGCATACCTACCTGGTTGCTTGATGTTGTGCTACACCTCTACAGGAGCAGCAACGGAGGGACGACAGAGAAATATCTCCAGCAGACTTTGTGTGAAACATGGAGGTTAGCTTTGTGCCTGTGTTCACTCCTCAGTGTCCAACGATGTGTGCTTCTGCCTTTCAAGACTTGAACAGAGGAAAGCGTCTGTGCAACAGGTCTGCTTTGTTTGATGGGAGCTCTGAGGTCATTAGTGGATAAATGAAGCTGAGCATCCACTCAGAATGAACGCTGACCTGAGACCTGAGGAGATGAAGTGATTGTCCAGAGCTCCAGCTTTGGGTGACACATGTTTACAGCTGAGAGGATTCATGTCAGACTGAACATGCAGCTGCAGGTGGTTGACTTGCTGCTCCAACATCCATCAGACTAAAGTTCAGGTCAGCTTTTATCTGTACAGCTGAGTCTAGTGTCTAATATGGGAGCAGGAAACACATGAAGGGACATCCCTGACCTACTGGGTCGGAGTGTAGAGTTATGATTTAGGAAGGTGAGAAAAAAAATCCTAAAAATCTCCATCTAGTGTCCAGTTATGTTCATCTGATCTACACCGAGTTCACCCACCACAAGTCATAGAATCAGCAGAGCTGTGAGGAACTCTGAGGAGCCTTTAACAGTCTGAGGTGTCCCCTAACAAACCTCCAGACAGCTGATTATGGGTTGAACTTTTCAGATATTTAATGCATATTGTAGAGACTGTGTTTGTATGTTTGGGCCAATGAAGCTCTTCTGTGACTTTGTGCAGAGTGTGTAAATAACTCCCGACAGCTCCCTGTTCACCAGAAGATCAATGTAAAAACAGTCTCCTCATTTCA